CTATTGTATATGTATAAATAATTTATTTGATAGATTTTATTATAACGACCACACTGTTAACTCAGTCAGTACGTATTTAGGAATATAGGCTACTACCCGTAGAGCTTAATTTCTACTTTTCGTTTACTGCTACTGTAACTTTATACAGAGTGTGCCTATTTTGGCAACACCCTTTAATAATATAATATATGCTGTCTTGCATCTGAATCTGTAAAACACCTCATCAGATTCTTTAAAAACTGGAAGCATTTGAACTGCTTCTCCAGTTCTCTGCCAGGTGTTCAGGTTATTTCATTTACTCTTCCTTTTTCCATTCCCTCTGGAAAAAAATACCTTATGACTGTTCTGAGGATTCAAAATTGGATGCTTTCCTATGAAATATATTTTCTCTCAAACAGAAATACTGTGCTTGAACTCAAAATCAATCTAGTATCAAAGTATATGCAAGGAAGAGCTACTGAAAAGAATTTGATGCCATTCCACAGTGGTTACCAAGAATCTTACTTGATAATGATTGTCTTATAATGTGTATAGTCTCTCAATACTATGCTAAATTTTAGGCAAGTAGAAGAAAATAATGGGGAAGCAATGTTGAAAGTGGGAACAGGTCTTTCAAAAGAAACGTAAAAGTAGAAGGACCAGCATACCACAAAGGCACCTAAGGCAAGAGGCTGTCTTTCCTAAACACTTAAAAACTCCTTGTAAATGCTAGCATTGATTATGAGGAAGGGACTGTTGACCAGAATAAAGTTGCCTGGGGAAAACCTTCACTTTAAATCTTTCATTTTTCCCTTAAAACATTTTTAATAAGGGTCACACATGCATGAGCTGAAAAAATGTCAAGAGTTCATAGCTCTCAATATCCTGAGGACCATTTCCTCTTTAGAATGAGATTTCCCATTCAAATTTAAAACTTTTGTGATCCAGTTGGATTTATTTGTGCTGTTTCTGTTCCTCAGATATTTGGAAAAATTCCGCAGAAAAAAGAAATAGCTCTGAAATGGAAACAAAAAATGAAACTTCAAAAGTACTTACAAAACTGTACTTTCCAAATTATGATTCAGAGTTTTTAAAACAACCTTTCATTTGGCTTTTTGGAAAGCTTCCCAGGTTCCAAGAAGTCTTAGAAGCCAGGAGTCCTAGGAGCCCTCCCGGAAAATCCTCAGAGCTGGTTTAGAGCTGATAAGGACTCGTTCCCTGGCTACAGGTCATACACCAGTTTTTCAAATATCTGGGCAGGTGACATGGAGGATAACTGGGAGGTTTTGAAATTTGCATCATTTCTATCATATTTATGTGCAAATGGGTGGGTGTCTGTGGATAGCTTTCATTTTAACACACCAGCATTTTCCAACGGAAAACTATTCCTTGGAAAAATCTACAATATGTTCAGGTTTTCCTTTTTCTAATCAATGCCAGTACAACGCAGTTAATAGGACTAAAAGTGAAATGGAGTCATGAAAGGATTATTGACATTCTGTTTTGAAAACGCTCACAGAAAGTCTAAATCCTGACTAGTAAATTGCTGACACAGACTCTAAGCTTTTCCAGGGAAAATAGGAGATGCTGGTGCTGACCTGTGTCATTGCAAAGCTGCAACTCCTATGCAAGACTTGATGGTGATTCTGTCTCTAGTGCTTTTTCTCCCCTCTCAGAGGTGGAGCAGCTTCCTGAGATGCTGCCACTAACACGGTCAGAAATGTCAGTTCTTACGTGATGTGGTGATATGGTGTCCAAATAATATTTTAAAAAATTGGATGATTTCTGTGGATTTTGGAAGATCTGAAGCACAGTTATTCACTCAAAAATTGATGTTACTGCCATTGGTTTTAGTAATAATCTGTTCCCATATTGTGTTTAATTTCTGGACTCTGGAGCACCTTACAGAGCAAAAGAAGTACCATTGTTTTTATTTCACTAAGTGAGAGGGAAATGAGGCAAGAGTGGGAAACTGACTTATCCAGCACCACACATAACATTAGCAGAACCCAAGACTGAGCCTCCAGTCAGGCTCCATCCATCCTCTACGGCAATAATAGGGATTGCCTGAGTGCTCAGATCATCCCTCTCTTCTGAATAATGACTAATGCTATTGAAAAGAAGATTTTCACCTATTTTAGATGTAAAAATTGTTCACAAATATTTATTCATATTTTTAAATAGCATTATGAATGTGTGGGCTCTCTCAATGTGTGCATTTTTCATTAATATCCTAGCTCAGGAGCTTGTTGGCAGGCATGTTGGTGTAGCAGACAGATTGATGTTTAATTTTGTGGAATTTCTACGTAAAGTAAATATTTGATGTACAGTGAGTAGTTTGACTTTATGCATGCATTTTTCCAGTCAAGGAACAGCCCTATCCCTTTGCCCTTCACTACACCACACTGCCTGCACTCAAAAGAAATTGTTTGAAATAGCATCTAGTCATAGGGCAGTATTCACAATTAAATTGTATCCCAGGAAGTGACTGTGGACATTATTTAGTAAAGATTATGAAATAGTTAATGTTATGGGTATTCATATTCTTGGTACATTTTGGGGAGACAAATAGGGAAAAACACTCTTCTGAAGTCTAATAAGGAAATTATTTTCTGTGTGTCTTTTCGTCATATAAGGAATTTGATGCTGCTGCACGTGTGAGATTCGCTCAGTCAGCCTGAGGAGTGCCACCAGTCCACACTAAATCTATTTGTATGCTGTGTACAGCTTCTCTTCGCTGTATTTGACTTTGCCCCGTGATGCAAAGCCGTAGTCTATGGATAAGGCTTGGGGCACCACGATTAGGTTCCCTTCTTTTATGCTACGTAGTGAAGAGTCTCTGTGTGGGCAGACAGAGGGTGATAGTGAGGAGGTGAGGGGTGGACATCACCTTGGTCTTTCCCCAGCTGTGCGACCTGTCATCAGACCTGCATGCCAGTGCTCTACGCTTCAGATGTGTGCAGCATCTTCTCTGCACCTCCCCAGTCTCACAGCCAAGCTCTGTCTACACTATTACTTTTTCCCATTGAGATCAGTAAGTCCCAATGGAGAAGAAATTAGAGAACCACAATGAATTAGACAATTTTCCCTCTTAGCAAAAGTGCTATAAAACTGTTGTTTTCTCTGGTTTGTGTAGGACTGCTTTTGTCAAGTCATAGCAAATTGTTGTTTATCCCAGTGCCTTTAGCTGTTGGTTTCATTATCATAAGCTTATTCAGAGGCTTCTAGCTTTCTTTTCTTGTGTATAATAAGTAATTAGTGTAATTTAATATGTCATTGTTGATGCTTTATCCAGCATAGAATAATAATAAAAATCTAATATAAATGTAAAGTTAATCACACTGTAACTTCTCTTACACTTACGTACATCTCCAGATAAGTCCTCAACAGTGATCTGGGGTTTGACAAATGACACTTCTAAAAATTTCTGTACATATTGGTAGCAGTTTTACGACTAAAATGGTTATCTTCAGAAGTTCAGCATATACAGATACTTTGGGATATCATAGAGTAAAATATGTCTTTTTCAGAAGCGTGGGATAAAGCCAATTATAACAGCTTTAGTGAATTAGGCAATGGAAACAATCTAAGGACAAGTGCTTGATGTTTAGCTCAACTAATTCCAATTAAAGCCTTTATAGCAATTTTAAAATCTGATGCAGAAATGTCCTGTTGCTATTTGCTCTGTTTTTCCTGAGTATTTTTAATAACTGGCATCACCTAGATTGAATACTTATTTTAAAAAGAATTTTTTGGCATTCTTATTGTTTAAATCACAAAACCTTTGCAAAATATACATGGCAATAAAGAGAAAATTGTACAGAAGCCTTTATCTGTTTAGCTAAGCATCCCAGTGACATCACAGACTACTCATGCTTTTCTCCTATATTTATCATGAGGTCATTAGATGTTTCTCATATTCCTTTTGGTTCACTGATCTCCATTGTACCTTTTATTTCTCACATGTATATTTCTCCCAGCACATGGACATATATTAATGTCATGTTTGTTTACATGATTGTGAAGATTATTGTTTTACTTCTCAAAGAGGTAGCGCACATGTGCTATGAGTAAACTGTGTGATAATCTATGTAAATTATGTGCACAGAAGCTATACTTTGCCCTTGGGGGAAATGCAAATTAGAACATTTTGTAGTTTGTTTGTTTTTAAATACATACACTTTTCACTTCAAGGCTCAGGACAGACTCCCTGTTTATTTTCCCATTGCTCATCATTTGTTTTTTCTTGTAAATATCTCAGTCTTTAATGATTAGTTTGTTACTTTGGCAGGAAAAAAATGCTTGATGAGTGAAGTCCTCAGAACGTAATGTTTGGTGTATTTTATAGCTCTGCTGTAAGGGAATTATCTGCTTGTAAAAGGGTGTATAACACACTCACAACTCAAAGCCATTATAGCAATCTGACAGTCTTCATTCATTTTCTCCTGGTGCTGTCTTCTTTTCTTCTTTTACATTAGTGCTTGTAATATTTTTTAATCCTGTGTTACTAAAACATAGAGTTAACTGATTTTCCTTACATGAAGCAAGAAATATATATTCATGAAATATGTTGTTTACTGCACTTGCAGCTCTGTGCTGATGTAATTTTTTGTATTAATAAAATTATTTTTATACTTCATAATTAGCCTTTTGGAGAAACGTTTTAATGTAAGTTGTCTGATTCTGTTTTAAGTGAAGGAGAAAACCTGGTAGAGGTTGTCTCTTTAAATCAGATCTGCAGTGTTGATGGACCCTCTAGCAGGCACGGTAAGAACCATTCTCACCTCTGCAGCAGGGAGCTTGACCATATAGACTCTCACATTCAATCAAAACGTTTTCCCTTTTAATATGCACTGTACCAATCCTATTCCCATGGTTACAGCTCGTGCTTCTTTGGTTGCTTCCAGTCAGTTGGAAAAGGAAGGCAGCATACATTTCTTGTACAGGAGTTTAAAACATCATGAAAGCAACCCTGTTGTGATTTGCATTTTAAATGTTTCTTTTTTTTTCTCATTGTACAGAATGCTGTAGCAGTAGCTTCAGTTCATTTGCCACAGTCTGTCTTCTCTCAGTCTTCAGCCTGGCAATCTGTTGATAACTCTACTTGCAAGCTACAGTTTATTGTCTTTCGGAATGGAAAACTCTTTCCTAGCACAGGAAACTCATCAAATCTTGCAGATGATGGGAAACGTAGGACGGTTGCCACACCAGCTGTTTTTGCTAAAATAGGTGAGGAGTTGTTATGCATTATTTCCTTTAATCTAAAAGCTACGGTATACTTGATTATGTAGAGAATAAAGGAGTAGAGTATATAGTCTGCTGAGGGGCTGGAAACAGTCTCTTTCTCTAGTACAAATGTTTGCAGTTGTTCCTATCTGCATGATTTTATTCAAATTATCCTGCAAATAAAGAAATGTACTTGCTGTATGACTAGAATGCAAATTTTGGACTACTGTTTGTTGACAGTGTTATTACAGATGCTTGTTTCTCAAAGCACTGTGCTATAGGAAAGAACATTGGTTTACTCCTTAAAATTAAAATTGCAGTGTTAATGCCCTAGACACTGATAAAAATAAGGGTTTTGGAGCAGGAGTAGTGCCCTGTTGCATGAATCAATACTTACCAGCATACTTGCTGTTACAATGGATGTAAAACAGGTGTTGTTAAAGGCTTTTGTCTAAATGTGATATATTGTATGTGATAGTGAGTCATTATTTTGATTAATTATTCACCCAGGCAATTTTACTAATTTTATTTGATACTGAATAGTGCTCTCATTTCTATTAACATTTTTTAATGTTTAAATGTGACTTTCAAAGTGCAGAACTGTCTCAGCTGTTAATCATACCACGAAACTGAGCCGTTTCTGCAGTTACATGGGCAATAGTGTAACAGTGGTCATAACTGAAGAATCTGAAACAAAAAAAAAACCTGCTTTGTGAAGGATGATCAGATCACTTGGACACATTATGGGACTGAAATGCTCAGATTTATTTACACTATTGCAAACTTTTCTGAATGTGAGCGCTGTGTTTGATTTTGCCCAAGAGTATATGTCTGTGGTTTTTTCCCCATAGCTTAGTGTATCTGTTCTCTTTACACAGCATTCATCAATAAAGGATTTTCCACTCTATCTCTCTGATTCAGTTTGTTGCTTTTGCAGATGGGTGCAGTTTTGGAAACCTCACCAGCCCTCTTACTATAGGGTTGAGGCACTTTGCACGGGGTGTAGACCCCATTGCAGCCTTCTGGGATTTTGACCTTCTGGATGGACATGGAGGCTGGTGGGGAGAAGGGTGCCACATAATTAGTTCCGCAGGCAATATTACCACCATTCAGAGTACACACTTCAGTAACTTTGCAGTGCTAATGGTAAGTATATGACTTGGCAAATATACCTATATTTCTCTGTCTCTCTCTTTTGCCATACATTTATGTTCTTTTTACATGCATCTGTATCATCCTTACTTGTCAGTAACTGACCTTCTGTTTTCTATAGTGTTTAGATAAGTCAGTCTTAAAGTAAGTTATTTAACTGCTCGTAAGTGAATAAACCTGACGGTCAGTTTTAATATCCAGAGACAGGCCTAATCAGAAATGACATTAAATTCAGTCTTACAAATGAAAGTTCCATCAAGGAACGATTAGTATGTAATGGTTATAAATTATAGGACAGGGTTTAAAAATGTATACTCCTGTGTGCTTTTACATCAGTGTATCTCAGAGGCTGGTCTGCTTTTGTTCCTGCCCTGCACTGTGTTGATCATACTAATTAGTTGCAGGCATACCGCAATGTTGAATCATTTAATAAATGGAGAGGAATAACATCTTCTGCTCTTTTCAGTAAGGACAGTGCTGTCCTTGTTGATCTGTAGGAGTTTTAGTTTGTATACCAATGCTGATAGCCTTCTTACAAAATTGCTGTTCATAAAGAAAAATATTTCTGTGCAGTGCTAACACATCAGCCTGCTTTGGTCTGTTCTCAGTCACACTTACAGTTCCCGTTGCAGTTATTTAACTATCCTGCTTAACAGAAAGTTACCTTCATGAAAGCAAAAATATTATGAATGCAATAATGACCTGTTACTGTTCAGGGAATAAAGGAAAGCAAACAAAAAACCAGAGATTTCTAATGCGTACAGGTGAGAAAATGAGCCATTAATAATATTTATTATAAACCAGTTGTAAAAGATTAGCCAGATGTGTACTATTATTACCAGATTGATCCTGAATGCTGGTGCATGATTGCACTGTAGATGCTGCTTGTGTACATTACAGAAATGCTTATAGTTGAGTAAATAATGTATTGTGTGTATGTGTAAGGGACAGCAAACATAGGCGACAGGAATTGCGAGGACGTGTGCAGAGAATACCAATCTGCTGCTGTCAGATGGAGCCCAGATAGCAGCCAATCATAGCACAAGGCTGTGACACCCACGAGTTAAATGCAGATATTATCGTCCACTTCATAAGAACTGATTTCTCTCAGAGTTACTTGAACATTTTTTCACCCATTCCAGAACTGTTCAGAATTTAAGAGCTGTTCTTAATATTTGATGATATCAAATATACCTTGTTTTATACAGCTTCTATGAGTTCCTGTGTTTCCTCTAGCCGCTTGTTTCCCCGAATGTGAAACGTAATTTTGCTTTGAGGATGGTTTTCTAAATTAATTAAAGAAAGCACCTGTTGACTTTGCAGGTGCCACACCCAAAATGGCTTCTTCCTCCTTCAACTGCTTTGGTTGAGCCTGTTCTTAAACTTTGAGTAGTTACTAAATAGTAACTAGTTGCTTGCAAACAATCAATTTAATGGTTTTGGTTTTTTTGCAAAAATTTATACTGACACAAGGGCTACAATTAATTTTTGGTTTGTAAAGCCTAATGCACATTTTTCACTGATAAGATGTAGCAGATTGGTTTTTCTAGAACGGTAAAAGCAACTGAGGCACCTTTTACTGCAGCTTTTGCATCTGGTATGTAATTCTCTTTTAGGACTTTTGTCTGGTTATGGTAATTCAACTTTGCTTTTTTTCCTGTGTGCATCTTCCATCTTTATCTATGCAAGGCAAGAAAATAAAATCTTAGACTCACCCTTGCTTTGCAATTGATATGGTAGCAAACAATGTGATATGTTCCTTAGCTCATGTTTTGCAGTCACTTTTAAGAAAAAAAGATGCCTGATATTAAGTCATGTTAATATATATATACATATACACATGAATATGTCTTCCAACAGCTGCCTTTCTAATCAGCTATTGGAAAACTTTTGTAGCTTCATTATGTGCAACAATTCTCATTCGAGCATTACTTCTTACTCAGTGTTTTGTGGCATAAAGTCAGGGATTGTTTTATCTGATGAGACTACTGTTTTCTGGGCAGTTTAATTTTCATATCAGAAATGAAAAATATTTCATTGTTCTCCTTAGCTATTAATTTATAATATGAATAATAAAAAGTGTCTATGTGCTTCTTCTTAATACACACCTGAGTGCCAAATATATTTTAAAACACAAACTGGCAGCAAATTCAAAATAGCTAGCATATGGTATGTAGCAAATGAAATTAGCTAGAATATCATGATGCGTGTTATTAATCTATAATTCTGTAATCTATTAAATCGTAAAAATTCATAATTGATTATTATGGTTTGGATAACTGAAGTGGCATCTATAAACTGAAGAGCAGCAATAAAGCAACAGTGATGAAGGTTTACATTACCATCAGAATAATGTATATCCTGCTCTGAAACAAGATGAAATAGAAGCCTCAGTTAACCCAAATGTCCACTTTATAGCTGCTACAGCACATATTCTGATTTGTCATCTATTTAAATAGCAAGGTGAAGTTCCCTGAACTGCTTTTATAAAAGTTGTTTCCACCTATGTAACGTAAAAGGGTTAAAATAAAGATTTCATAGAGGTCTTTTTTAGAAAGGCAGCAATCAAGGATTTATCAGCTACGATTGATAATTAATAAGCATGAGCATACTTCAAGTGAGAGGATTCATGTAGAGCCATTTGATTTCTCTCTGTGACAGTCGTTCAAGTGATGTCAATGAGAGAGAGAGTACAGTTTAGAGGTTGAGTTGGAAAGGAGGTACAAGCTCCTTCCTCACACCCTGTCACGCTTTCACTCTGCTCTGGGTTGGACCAGTGGATGGAAGTAAAATAGTAGTGTCAGACATAATAGAGCATCATCTTTTACTGATCAGCTTTTGAATGGTATGTCTTAGGGGAGAGAGTAAAATACTGTGAACTAAACTCCCAAGTTATATTCCTGCTTTTCCTTTCATATACTCTGTGTTTAGACCAGTCCCCTATTTTGTCTTCTGTTATCCATAGGAGGAAGAGAAACAGAAACACTCTAGTTTCTTTTGGAGGTGGCCAAAGCCTTCTAGGGTCTTGACCTATGAACCTCTACAATATGATTTTCTGTTTTAGAGTAAAATTATGAACTTATATGTTCTGAAGCTTTGGTATATCTAATTATAAGTATTTGTTCTAGAAATACTATGTATTTGTGCTCTTTTGTGAACTGAGCTGTATATCAGTATTTTAATTTTTCAGGACCATGTTTGTGTATGTTATGACCAACCTAGTGCCCTGTAGCTGTAGTAAGTCTGACTAAAAACTCTTCAGGAGATAATGAAAATATGCAACAGCAACATTGAATTTCAAAATTTGCTGAATATGTTTTGGCATACATTGTCCTTTGTTCTTCCTTTCATTTTTCTTAGAACAGAATGGCAATTCAATAGTGGTGTATAATACTGTAATTGTATAGAGCATTTCCTTTTCCCCCTTAGACTGCTTTGTCAATAGTAATTTCCTCAAATCTGCCAAATAAACACTAGTAAAATTCTTAAATCTAAGTATGCTACTTCTCAATTACTAGAAAATTGATTAATAAATATTGTTAGCACTTTTAATTGTAATCCTGAAGACAGGTTAAAGAAACATAAAATCATAAACAACTGTTTTCCTGTTTTGTCACAATGTATCTCATTATTCCAAACAACATAGGTGTTTTTTTTGTTGGATTTTGGATTTTAATTTGTGAGTGTAATCATTATTTGCAAAAGTAGCATACATTCAGTGGATGGCTATTTGAGATAATTAGGGCTGTGGAGACTGAGCTGACAAAAGCAGAGTAAATTTGAAACTATTCTGGAAGCAAACCTTGGAAAACTGTGAATGAGAAATTGCAGAGAGGCAAGATACTAGGAAGAGATCATGCTAAGAGTTACAGGATTTTTCTCCTGTCGTTTTACAAGCATTCCCTGAATCTTTTAAGTCTTTCCAAATTGGTAGGATCACAGTGCCACAAAAGCTACGTTTTCAGTATTTTCAGTGTGACTGGAGACAATTGCAGAATTTCTTAGGCCTATTCATGAATTTCAGTTCTAAAAACAGACTTCTAAACTTCCATGTTTCAGGTCTTCTCCAAATTAAACAGACTATCTAAGCCTTTTGAGAAATTAATTCATGAGTCAGGGAAGTATTACAGAGATGTCATTTAGAAGGTTGACATAATTACAGTATTTGACATTTTCCCCATAGAGAACACAGGGTTTTCTCGTAACAGACTGTGGAAGCGTGGTTCAGTATTTTGGAAAATCAGTCTGCTTATAAAGAGGGGTTTAAGAATGAACATTTCAATTTTTTTTTTGTGCTTAGACACCTACTTTTACAGCTACAGAACAGACCTTAGCAGAGTTTAAGCACCAAAGACTATGAAAGTGATCCAGAAAGTTTACCTGCTGTCTGCAAAATTAACATTTAGTGTAGAGGGAACTGCAAAATACCCTGGATTCCTCTGCATGTGCATAGATGCTTCCCAGTGTGAAGAGCTGGATTTCTAAGCTCTGCTGTCATTCAGAGGCACATTCTCTTCACCTAAGTCCTCAGCTGGCATGAATTGCTCACCTAGCAGAGAATGCTTATCCCATGGGGACAGTGTTGAGTCCAGCTTCCCAAAAAAGTTGCTTTCTTCAGAATATTCCTAAATGTGCCAATCTTTTGCATAAAGCCTTGGAATTAGAGTACTCATAAGAGCAAGATCTGGCTTTGTCCTTGGATTACATCTACTTTTTATTAAATTACATTTAATAACATGTGTTGTTTGCTCTGTAAAATACGTGAACAGGATTGGTACTGGGGACAAAAATCCAGGCTTGTCTCCTTCACAATGCACTAAAGTTATAACAAATCGAGCCTCTGGCTCAAGCTCTTTCTTTCTGTTTGCTCTTGCTTTCTACTGGCTAAACAGATCTTGCATTCTTTGTGGTGCAGCTTCAACCAGAGAGTAAAGTGATCCAAACTGTAAAGGAGCTCAGTAAAATGTGCCAACTCTGGGGAGATAGGAGATGTAAGTTAAAGACCTAGAATCTAGGTCTTGAGCCATCTTGTTGTCTTGGTGACTTCTACTGGGCTCCTTCCAATTGATCAATGTTTTGTTGTACTGAAGTGCCCCAATCTGGACTCACTAGTCGATATTTGGTCTCGCAAGTGGTGAATAGAAGGGAATAATCACTTCCCTCAGCCTGCTGCCTGCACTCTTGCTAATTATGGCACAATATGTGGTTCACCTTATGTTCACCACAAGGACTCACCACTGCCTTGCTCTCAATTTATTGTCCACTGGGACCCTCTGATCCTTTTCTGCAAAGCTTGTTTCCAGTCAGTTGTCCTCTAGCCTGTACTGCTGTCAGGGCTACTCTATCCCAGAGACAAGAAACTTTTTCTTTCTCTTCACTGAACTTCATGAGGTTCCTGTAAACCCATTCCTTCTGTGTGTTGAGATCCTGCCAAACAGCAGGATCCCAACTGCTCCACTCAATGTGCCTTCCAATGTTTTCAGCTCTCCATAGAGACCCAACTCTACAGATAATTTCCATATGCTGATGCTCCTAAACATCCTAATATTTGGCACCTAATTTTTAAGTTTTAAGTGGAAGGAATCTAAACACAAATAGGAATCTAAATCTTACTATGCCTGATTGTTCAAATGCATTTGTCTTTCCAAGTCTCTGTAGTGCTTGGATATCACTTTCTCAGGGAACACAATTTCAGGTGTCCTGCTTTAAACACAGAAACCAGTTAGACTATATTTTCTAATGTCATACTATTACAAGCAATATATTAAAAATAAATGTTTAATTTGCCAATATAAGGAGATGGATTACAAAAATTTGCAACACAAACTATATTGTTCTTTGCAGCTGTGATTTTGTGAAAGTAACAGATATTGAGTATTAGTTCACTGTATCTTCCCCTCAGCTTTCTCAGCACCTGCTGTTAGATGTCACAGGGCTGCCTTTGGTATTTAATTTGTCTATAACTCCTTATAATTTCATATTGAGTTCTAACTGATCGGTATAGATGTTTCTATCTCTGTCAGTTTGTGGAATGAAGTTTCAAGTAAAAATGAAACAGTCCCATTTGCACGCTGATGTTTTTATAATTCTGATTGTTGGATGAAATAGCTGGTAAAAAGTCTTTTCTGTAACTGGTTCCCATCACTAATTTCTATTGTGTCTTATATACCATAGTGGCATTTACAGCTGAAAGAAGCTGGTTTCACACCTTCTTATAAAGGTGAATGAATGACAAATTCTTATTAGACAACATTTTACTGGCCTTGTAGTTGCAGACAGCAATTTGTAATGGTCAAAGTTTTGTGTGTATTCATTTTCCTGTAGATAATTTGTGCCATTTTTCAATATCATCATCATTTGAATCCCCTCTAGGAAATAAAATCAAACCCGCCTTCTTAAAATGTAACATACAATTATGCTGCTTTGCATACAGCATTAAAAAAATAACTTTGTTTTCTTTGTGCTGTCTTCTCCAGAAGATTACTCAGGGGATATTGACTGATCAATAAGGTTTAATTATCATCAAAACCAGATGAGATAACTTTATTATATATCTCTAATGAAATCAGTTTTTGATATAAAAAGCTCTTAAAAAGCGTATTCTACACTGGCAATAATGCATTATGTTACTCAATAGCTTTACCACCTATTTACATGAGGTAACTAGAAAAGAGATAATAATAAATATTGAATATTTTTTAATGGAATTAGCTTTAAGATGCACACTGTTCTTGATTCTTCTGCAGGCAAAATGTCTGTATTCCTGTAGGACGTATGGCATTTGCCTTTATACTGATCAAACATAGTGATTGGTTGATCTTCACATTTACACTATTGAAAGCTAGTTCTTTAGTACACTGAATGATGCTACCTCAAGTAAAACCACTTTCATTTGTTGCTACATAAATGTGTAGCTTTACTGTGTTTCCTTTGTCACAACTTTGTTAACTTTTCAGAGTATTTCTGAAGGAAATATTTATTTCTGTAAATAACTGCACTGTTACTACTATATTAGTTACAGTAACAGTTTTCTTAATGCACAGAAATGAAGCAAGTGTGTACAGAAAATTATGACAAAGTGTACTATTGGTATACCAAAGTACGGTTATATCAGTAAGAGCTAGAAGTAAATATTTTATTATTTTCAGCAGAGTATTTCTATTTAAATTGTACAGTATTTACATTACTACTCTAGTAATATGAGCCAAAATTGCAATGAACATTTCTGGTAAATAATGCTTTACCTCAAGAAGTTCACTCTGTAAAAGAATTAATGGGGAGAGGATGCAAATAAAAACATAGGAGAAAACACGGTCAAAAAAAGGGTGTTTGAGTGGAGATTCAGTGGCAGTTTTGAGACAATAGACTTCTAAAGAATTATTTGAAATTTGTGAATTCAGTGTATCCTGAATGTATATTCATGCACACTAAAACTCAGGAGAAGGCCTCAAGAGCTTAGGTCTGTCACATTAAAGAGCTACCACATCAAAAGGCAGAGTTCTTTTCCTCTTCTATTCCACTTGTGGTTGAGGGAAGAGTAGCAAGAGATGTTAGGAGACAACATAAGAGTACCTCTGTGACAAGTGACCCCCACCTCTGACTTTGAGTCTTAGACAGCTGGGCAGGGCTGAGAGACAACTTGTGTGGGGGACAAGTGGTGGCTGAGCAGATTTGACTGAGATACACACACAAGCTGAGGAAGTAGTTGAAGAGAAATGGGATATGATTACATATATTTACCATCTTGTTCATTTTGATGGTCTTTTTTTATATATGTTGTAAGCTGCTCTGTTTTAGAACTGACATTAATATGCATCTGGAGAAACTGGTACAACCAATCTTAGGAACTTTAAAGTTAGTATGAAGAAAAATGATGCCTACTAGGGCATCTGTTAGTTGTAAGGACCTTTCTGGAACAGTACTTTTCTCCTTGATTTAATAATTGTATATACTCATGAACATTAGCTGCTTGTACATGGACAAGTTCATATACATGAATAATGGTGCTGGAAATTAGCTCTCTACATGCAAATGCGATTAAAAAAAGTATTAGCACTACAGTCCCAGTCTCCAAAGGGGAGATTTCACCTCGGGAAAATAATGTATTGAATCTTCTTCCAGGAGAACCTAAAACTGACAGATAAGACAAAAGTCTTTTAAATGTATGCCAGTATTTTCAGTATTAAGAGTTTGTTGGATTGTGATACTCGGTATTTTTTCAGATTTTAGCCTTTTCTGTCCTGGGATGTATATTCATTTTTGTGTGAACACTTAGTGCCACTGCACATGGAAACTGGCATGTAGACAACACTTTGTTTGCACTCAGGTGGTAGCTTATGTGTTTAATTTATAGTACTTGTAATGCCACAAACAGATGTGGCTTAATGTACTACAGTGAACCTGTAATGTTTGGTTTAATTCAGATAGACTGAAGACATACTGCTTTCTGTAATGGGCTCCTTTCACTTTCCATCCCTCACACCTGCAGAATTAACTCTCTCTTATTATTTCTTACTTGTGAGATCCAGTAATTTAGAGTGGGGATCTGATGTGGTTAATTTTACAGAGGTATTAATAGTTTTTCATTGTTTTTCAGGAAGAATTGTGTCAGTAGGCACTAGCAGGTCCAAAAGGAAAGCATGGATCTTTACTCTGCTGTTAATATAGCTGTCAAGCTGCTTTTGAATTGATGTAGGTAGTCAAGTATTTGCAACTAAGTGTGAAGGTCACTGGGTCAGAGGAGGTGTATCAACTGGGAATTATATTTTAATATAGGAGCGAGTCAGTCAATATTTTGTGTGTATTCTCACATCTTTTGTTTCTTTGAGTGGTTCTTCTGCAGCCATGTATATGCCATTTAGAGACCTTTATGGTAATTTGATATTTTGTACTTAATATCCTAGTAAAATACATACATAGAGTTCATGTTATCAGAAGGAACAGATATTGCTAATGCCTGGAAAATGTAATATTCTGTGTATTTTTTCAGACCTTTTTTTTTTAATTAGGATAAGTCTGCTTGTACAAAAAGGTTAATTTCTGTCTTGCAAAGTGTATGCAGATGAGGAAAGAGCAGTCTGATGTTATTGTAAATTCATGAACTATATCTACATAAAAACTTCGCCATCTTATTTTCCTGCTCTTGAAAGGGAACAGCTAGAAACGACAGGACATATTGAAATGAAGTCTCAGAGTTTCACACATGCCTAACAGTGTTAAATCGTTCTGCTTTCCCCATAGGATTTTAAGACAGTGCTGTCTTTCCCCCAGTACCCAGGGGAGTTTCTGCACCCTGTGGTATATGCATGTACTGCAGTTATGTTGTTGTGCCTGTTTGCTTCCATTATCACCTACATTGTCCATCACAGGTAAGAATTCAATTTTAAGCACTCGTGTTAAGTGGTCAGCATTATGCTGAGGTACTTTAATTTGTCTAATCCTCACTGAAAAAGATAAATTAAAATTATCTGAATTACTGTTGGATAGTGATATCAGAAATGTGATTTACACCAGAGAAATAAAAAAAAATGTCATGTCAGCCTTTCTCAGACTGTTCCCAAGCTGTATGTTTCCTGAGACGTATGTCTGAATGGTCTACACACTGTTCTTAAGATTTCTAACTTGACAATTCAATATAAAACCGCGAGCACTGTCAAACTGCTTTCTGGCAAATTCAGTTGAGCAGCACTGTGGACAGCTACACTGGCAGTATTGTCTTTAAGTCCAAGTTTGGTTGAAAGACTGATAACTATCATTGGATAAAAGAAACTTTCTTTGACTTCTAAATCTTCTTGGGTTTAGAAAACTTGTGTTTTCTTTTATATGAAAGATTTATATAAATGCCATTTTAACTACATACTTCTGTTAAAGACCATTATCAATTTAAAAGAGTAGGAACGTATTGTACTGTAGAAGCTGCTAAATATTAATTAAGTGAACTTAATGCAATGACTTCTGATCTTCAGCTTCCTTTTAATCCTTTAGAGATGTCTTGTTAAAGTTCTGCGTATCTGAAGCTATGCAATAAGCCTTCTGCTTCTATTACTCTAAATGCCTGACTTGATAGAGGAAACTTTAAGTCAGTAGACCCTTGTCGGTAGACTCTTTACAATTTTTACCATTGATTTTATGTTTTACCCTTGCTTTCACTATAAATCAGACTTTTTCGTATAGGTAGATTGCTAAGTAGGTATTCAAGAATCAGAGAATTTAATTCTGTCATATGAAGCATTTTTTTCCGAATCGTAATTTTCATAATAGATACGTTGTTTTTTAATCTTAAAATGTGATTTTTCAACAGCACAATCCGAATAAGTAGAAAAGGATGGCACATGCTTCTCAACTTTTGTTTCCATACTGCTCTTACATTTGCTGTTTTTGCTGGTGGAATCAATCGCATTAAATATCCAATTATATGTCAAGCTGTAAGTATCTGCCTTAGAAATTCTTATTAATAGAATGAAAACCTGAAACTGTATCTTTTAACATAACGTTGGTAGTTCTCTTTCTTTTCATATATTGTTCCTGGATCTTAAGTTCTTTGAATGAGTCTTCATTACAAGCATGTCTTTTAAAGGCCAGCACTGGGACAGTTCAGTGTTTGGTTGTCACCTGAGTTTCTGTGACCTGAACAACGCATTAACTTCTCTGCAGCTCAGATTTCCTTACTTAAAAAAAAAATCCCTGAACATCATCATATTTCTCTGTTCTACAGATAGTTGAAAACTACAATTCCCAAGTACTTCTGTCCTTTCTGATATTTGGATTGAATGTGTGGAACTAGAGTTACTGCTGAACTTTTGCAATATGTATACCATTTGCCTGAGGGTGGCCCTGCCTTCACTGGGTGATCCCTAAATATACACTTGGGCAGCTTAATGTTTATAGTATGTTTATGCCTTTTAATTACAACTCCAGCTAAGGAGTCAAAACAGACCAGTACATTTGTGATTTATGGGCCCCTGTTTGCACTGCTGGGCTGTTTTACACCTCTTGCTTCATCCTTTCCAGGGATATAGTGCTGTGATATGCAAAGAGAGCGCACTGCTTCAGCTGCTCTGAATATAGAGGCTGAGTCAGTATAGTGTGTAAAGAGAGCCATTTCAGTCCCCTTCTGTAATGCCTGATGAGGTCTTGTTGCAATTTGTTTGTCTTAAATATTTCTTCGTCTCGGATTTTCTAGAAGTGCTCCAGATCTCATGAATGTTGTCGGTATTTAGCAATAAACCACTTTATTAAGCCAATATTCCCCCACATATTTTGCCTGTCACTAATCTGGTTCTTCTGATTGGCTTGTATGTGTGTAAACAGCAAGACCCACCAGCCAACAACAGAGTCACTGCAGAACTTGCATAACTAGGGTAAGAGTTATCACTCTAATTTTCAGTGAGGTGCTTTGGAAGCCATTTGTGTATACTTGTGCATGACCGCCAATAAACAGCACATGTAGATCTGTAAGCACCTGTAACATTCTATGTGCGAAGTCTACCTATGTAAATTATATAGTATTTATTTAAATGACACAGTTGTCCACTAGAATATTCTGGGATAAATATCGCACAATATGTAGTGTATTGTGTCATAATTAACCTGAGAGTTCCAGGAAATTGAAATATCACTTACCGTTGTCTTTATCTGCAGTTTGCAAGTGAGAGTAGCAGATTAGTTTGTAGGGCAGCCATGGCCATGTAATTACACGATCACAAATGACCATCTGTTGTTACAATCATTGTCTGATTATTTACTTTGCAGATTGCATGGTAATAATGCAATTTTAACAGCAATAATGAAAAATTGATTGAGATAAATGAGTTATTAATAATCTGTTATGAGTAATACATAAACTACAGGGGTATCTTCATAAAATGCATTGTCAGTGACAGCTGTTTCTTGCTATGGTATAGGGCCAGATCCTGAGCTGCTGAGAAACACGCATGCTTAGAGAAATTGAATGGATCCATTCACATATGCCTTCTAATCATATAATCTAATCACTTCTAAAGTTAGTTATTTACCTGACACCGTGCTACATCAACAGACAATATCACCAGCAGTTAAAATATAGGAAAGATACAGGACACATGAGGCACACACAGTCCTCTGGTTCATGGTAGAAATTGTCTGATGTACTTAGGTAGGGCTAACATGCAACAGTCCAAACAAACTAAAACTCCTGTAGCTGGTAACAGAAGCTGAACTAATTTCACTCCCAGAACATAGTACCCCCATCACAGACCCTTTCTTGCCTACTGATAGCAACATTTTTCAAAATTCTGTGAGTCACAGTGCCTGTCTCCCCATGTAATGACCCTGAAAGGATTACTCCATAAATTAATATACAGGGTGCCAAAGTTAGGAGGTAGGGAGGTCAGACCTACTAATGGTTTCCCAAGAGTCTCACATATTTGAACTTTTCCCATAGGTTGCATAAGTGGTGGTGGGGTGGACAGCATTCCTTTTCTCCTGTGCATGGAATATAGCAATTCCTTAAATCACTCAGCCTGATGAAAGGTATATTTATATAGCTGTTTTGGGCTTGTGTGTCCCGCACATTTAAGTTTTGTCTCTTTCTCCGTTTATTCTTTTTCAGTTCTGGAAAAAACCCTGATATTAGGGTTTAAAAATATATTTGTGAAAATATTACTGCTTCAAGCAGCACTAAAATATTAGTTATACTCCATGTGTAACACCATCAGTGTTGCTATAGCAAGGTATCTTTCCATCTGCCACAATTCAAAACACAGCTTCACCCTGCAGCTATGTAATTTGCACTTTGTGTTTCCTGAGTGCACAGGGGCAGATTCCAAGTGCACGTGTTTTCTGTCATAATCACTGAAATGTGGTGTCAAAGCTGGTGAACCTCCACCTTTCTTATTGTAATTATCCCTAAACCTTTCATACAGTTTTCACGGCAACAAGTGAAATAGACTGAGGTAATTTTTATCCTTCATAATTAACCAGAAAGGGTGATTCTAAAATAACTACATTTGGATCACCTTCTCCCTCTAAATGAGGTGTCCCATGCTAATTTTAAGCAGTGGGAATTAATGCTATGGAAATGGACCCATTTTCTGTGATAGGTAGCTGGAGCAACCTTCATATTGCCCTGAAGGCAAAGTAATTACACACACAAAAAAAAAAAAAAGTATTTTCAGAGGTGCTAAGATATTTATTTTTATCTGGAATCTAAAAATCTAAAACTACCTTTTAAACCTTCATACCTATTCCAGAGAGGATTTTGTATAGCCAGTCTCACTTGTGTATGTGCTATGCAGTCTTTATGATTTATAAAGAAAACTGATGTTAAGAGTGCTGATCCAGAAGAGTTGATTGCTTCTTCACAGATTTCCTGTGTGAATGAGGTTATATCTTCAAATTGTTCAGATTACCCACGAATCTGATTCTGGGTGTCACTGAATGCTGGCTGTTGATGTAGAATTCAGTCTTAAGTTTACAGCAAAATCTTTCATGCAAGGCAAAAGTTGTGTTAGGAAAGGCAGGATGGGATTAATCAGAGCCAGTGTACTAGCCAGAAAGGTGCTTGAGCCAGCCAATGGATCATGTAGTCAGCCCCTTCCATCTTCCAGAGTTAGCAGACTACTTTCCTTCGAAGGGCAGAAGGAGGCTTATTCTTTTCATGTAAGGAATCAGATGGAAGGAGGCATAACTGTAGCCATATCACTCCCCAGGTGTGGGAGGCATTGATTCCTCACCATCACTACGAAAGTCTCAGCCATGAGACTATGGATGCTAGGGGATGAAATCATGAGTTCAGCATAATGAAGCATGAAGAATAGGCTTAGAGGCACAAGATTCAGGAGACAGAAAAGTTAGGGAGTGAGACAGAATCATAGTTTTTTATCGTAGTGGCCTGTCACTGAGTGACACGATCACTTTGATCACATCTCCAAGAACCTCCTATGTGGTTTATCAAATAAAAGCTTCCATGTAAAATTTGGCAAGGCTTGGATCTTCCTTCTATCCGATGAGTGTCATATGTGAAGCTGCTTGTGAATTCCTTTCTGTAGGGCAGGAAGTATTCAGCAAGAAATGTGAAGCCAGTGCTACACGTGGAAGTCCAAAATTTGGATTTGAATCCTGTTAAACTAAGGAGGGCCTAGCACTATGTGCCACATCTTGGGTAGGAGCTGTAGATACAAAAATATTATAGAAAAAGGAGGAAAAGAGCAGTTCTTTCTGCTCTACCTATTTTTTTTTTTTTTTTTTTTTTTAAGAGTGGGTGTAAAATTAATGTGCTGTGATCAAGTTTGCCAGTTAGAGTGTCTCAAGTCAAGAATGCTATTTAACAGCTCTTGAGTGCTCTTTGGTGAGAAAGGTGATGCATTGTTTAGCTCTGCTGAGACAGGACCAGAGCTAGTCATATACACAAGCAAGACTTTAGGTGGCTGGAAACTTTACTAGCAGCAACCTATGATGGCTAAAGACTTCGCAGACTATGAAGTTAGATGTGTACGCTGAAGAGTGTTCTTCCTGGTCTTGGGTGTCTGATTTGTGGGTCTCAACTTCTTGCTCTAAATTTTCTACCTGTGAAGGGAGCATGGGGTTGTTCTAAGGCTAAATGTTTTGAGATCATGAAAATTCTGCATGCAGTGGTGTTATAGACTGCAGAGAAATTCCTGAATCCTTTCAACAATCACTTTCAGTGCAGGATTAATAGTTTAATTGGAATGACAGTGCATATCCATATCCTCCTTCAAATAGAACCACCTGAAGAAGGACAATATTATCTGAAATACGATCACAGTTTAAAAAAAAAAAAAAAAAAGAAATTAAATTAAAAACTAGGGAAAACCAAAGACATTTGTGTGCAAGTTAAAGCTGATCAGGAGAGCTTTTTGTGCCATAATGCTTTGCGTAAATGTGTATTCTGGTCATTGCCATGGTAACTGCATGGTGTGGAACTTAAGTCACCTCTAAGGCACTGAAATTTATTGAAGGAGCACACACAGACAGCATCTTCTTGCCGTAGAAAAGCATAATCCTCTATTCAGTAGACTGATGCTTATTCCCAAAGATAAAAGTTCTAAGAATTCTAAGAACACAGGACATGGAAAAAATGAGTCGAAGGAGACAAGAAAATTTTCACTATATAACTGCGGTTATTAAATAGCTTTAAGTTCAATGCTGTCTTCAGGGCATACGTCCTGACAATTCTTTCTGTACCATTTGACCTGTCAGTGGAAAACCTTAAATATAAGGGTCATCACTTTAATATATTCAATCATAATCCTTTGTTCTGCATAGAAAACTTGACCCTTCCCACCCAATTTTATATGAAATACAAAAGTTCTACTTACAGTGAACACATGGGTATTTAATTTGTATCTGTTTATTAGCCTCTTAAGCTTTACAGAGGCACAAATCCAGTAACAAGATATATACAGATAAATTTGTACCCTGGACCTTTAGCGCATAAATCCAAGGTTTGCATTTGCTAACAAAGTTAAAGAAGACAAAACTATCTTTGTCCTGTTCCTCTTTCTGTTGGGCTTTGTCTTCTCCTTCCATGTCATGAGCTGGTATATTGTGTATTTCTAGCGTAGGGCTCAGATGTCTTCCTAGCTTGAGAGAGCTAGGAAGAGGTGGTCCCACTGAAGGGGATAAAAGACGATGCAGGCACAGCCCTTAAGTGCAACAGTGAGCAAAATGTGTCTCTGTGGCATGACTGATGTCACTGTGGAGATATGGAGAAAGAAGAGGCAGAGAGCAAAGACCACCACTTTGAAACACTGAATTTTCAAGATGAGATGTGACAAGCATTTCTTTACTAATTATTATTAGTGGATGAATAAAAGCAAAAATGCTAGTCCAGAAAGCATATTTTGTGATGTGAATTTAGAAACAAAATCATAATCACAGAGAAAAGGGTACCCTTTCCTTTGGAATTTAGTTAACAGCTCAACATACTCTTCCAAATTCCACATTTTTGTTGTGTCATGTACGTTTTATCTCCAGATTATCACCTTTGTCCTTCAAATCTGTCAGTCATGAGGAGGTCCTATATCATCAGGATGTATCCTCTTTTCCTTTAAACAAGAAATGTAAATGGATTTTTTTTTTGAGAGTCATATTATTAAAGGGTTGGTAGACAATTATAACATTTCTGTGCCTTGTCCATGTTTGTTCAATTTGTCCATGTATCAGAAGGAGCTAAATTGCTGAAGTATGAGCACATTGTGAAGAGAAGTGATGTGACTATGGTGTGGCATAGCAATGACGTTTTCAGTTCAGTTCATTTGCGTCCTTGAAAGTTCAATAAAATTGTTTTATTGAATCTCATTCACTTAAGTGACTGATAATTTCTGTATATACGTTGTCAAAATTTCACATGTAGATGTCTTCTCACATGGAATTCATCCCCGCTGTTTATATTCTTATGGACTCTTTGGCATACTTGTGTAGAATAATTATGGAAAGTACAGTAGCAGTGCTATGCTGAAATGAGAAAGAGGTTATGAACCACACCTCTAGAATTTTTCCAGTTCTTTTTCATGGTTCCTGCCTTCTTTTTCTCCCCCTTACTTCTCCCCCTCTTCTCCCTCCTGCCTTCCTCCTTCACTTTCCCCCCCTCAGCTCACAGTCAAATTCACTGTGTCCCTACAGAAATACTGCAAGCTGCATATGAACTAAGTCCAGACAGCACTAGCCACTGAACTGGCAATGTCTGCCAGCTGATGGAACAAAGTTGTCTCATTCTCTTATTTCTGCTTCTTTTACCTCAAGCGACAACAGCTATGAAGGCTTTATACTCACTTGTCTAATGTGTCAGACAAGTCCCAGAGAAAATTACAAAGGGTTTTCTGTTGATGATATTTACTGCTATCTTCAAGTTTTGTGCTATATTACTAAATATAAACAAAATTCATGGATTTTTTTTTTCTTTACTCATCAATTATTTTGTTTTAAGTTGAGCAAAAATGAACGCTGGTTCAAATAAATCATTATAATAGATTTGTGTTAGCTTTATTCAGCAATTCTCTGTATTCCTTAAACATTTATGTGCTTTCCAATTATAGCAATATTTTACTTGTCACTGCAAAATGTCAGATTATTGCTTCAAAGGTAACCTCATTTTATATAATCAGATGGAGACTTAGCTGATGTAATAAAGCACTGGAGATTGGATAAAATTCCAATTACTGTTTCCATAGTAATGAATAACGATTACTAACATAACAAAAATGTTCGTATTTTAGAGGTGTTTGTACTTTATTTTACTTTCAATGATAAACACACCAGTTTCTTGGAGACAAAATGATAAAAACACTATTAAGACTTTGTATTTCCTTTTAAGGAAGGATGCCAAGATCTGTCATTTAATTGCAAAAATTGTATGGCCAAATTGATAAGTTCCTTAAAATGTGTCTGAAAATAATCTGGTTTTAGGCAAATAGCACTGATCCCATTACAAGAAGTCAGCCTTGGCTATATACAGCTGAGAGAGAACTACAGCAGGGTATTCCTGAAAAATGAAAGGAAATAGTAGCATAATAGCAAGAAAAAATGTTGACCTCTCATTAATTTTTAAATCACATTGTCATGATAAGCTAACAAAGCTTGCAACACAAACTAAGCTTCACGTCACTTTAAATCGAGGTGTAAAAAGCTGTCATTAATCAGGTTCTTAGAAAAGAAATGTCTTTACAGTCTTGGTTTCATAACATACCATCTAGTATCAGAGTTATTGTCTGTGATAGATTAAATAACAGATTCCATCTGCTTTTTAAAAGTGTTTTCCCTGGTTAGAAATAACCAGAGAGAAAGAGTAAATTGATGCAATTTACAAAATCAGTTAAAAAAATCTGTTTGCTTGTACATTTATGCAGTAAGATTCTTCTAAAACACTTGTTTTACTGATTCATTTACTGACTTGTTTAACTGTCCACTCTTTTTTTTAGGTTGGCATAGTACTACATTATTCTACACTCTCTACTATGCTATGGATTGGAGTAACTGCCAGGAATATTTATAAGCAAGTCACAAAAAAACCTCAGCCATGCCAAAACAGTGACCAACCTTCTTATCCAAAGCAACCACTACTCAGGTATGGAATATTAGCTATACTTTTTCTTTTTTATGTATTCCTAAATCATATAAATTTTAAACAAACTCTCCATTTTATTTCTATACTTTTTACAGACTATAAATAAGATCCGTGAAGAACTGGGTCACCTGGGTGTATATAAAAACCTGAATATTTGTTGTATGCTAATAGTTAACTCTATTCAGGAGATGGAAATATGCAGAACTGGTATTGGCTAGGTTCAGGTACCTTTATTTGAACAGGAACAATTCAAATGTTTCTGTTCATTTCTCATGGAGGAAAAAACTTGGCTTGCTTCTGGGTTAAGGCATTATTTAATCATCAGAAACTACGCTATAATGACTCTCCCTTTACCCTTATCTATTCTGCTGTAAATCTTGCTCACATTTGTATTGATTGCCTAGTAACCTGCTAGCAACCTTCCTAATTCCACATCAGATGCTATTACAGGAGCAAGTGAAAGTCTGGACTCCCTATCAGCTTTCTAGATGGAGCAGACTAACATGTGTCTGACAGCATGGCAGATGTAATGCAGTAAGAATTTTAACCAGATGCCTATGAGATGCTGAAACTTCAAGCCAAAATACTCAGTCTGCATAGAATAAGAAAAAAAAAACCCTAGTTACCATAAACTAGAATTTCTGATCAAAGGCATGAGAAGATGGATTCATCTTTTTTGACCATAGCTACCAAAAAGTTAGGTATTAGCCAGTTGTCTAGTGTCCCTTTATAGATTTTAGAGTGAGGCTGAGACAGAGTAACTTCCAGAGAACAATTCCTCCCATCTTTCTTGAATGTTTATGTGAGGACAGGATGGATTGCTTTATGGAGGTGCCTCTCCCCACAGATCATGGAAACACCTGAATGGTCAATTTAGGCTAAAGACTTCCGTTTTATAGTGAAGGACAGGAAATGCAAATTCTACTTTTTATGGCTTTGCTGTGAAAAATCCAGATTACTGTATTCTTTTAAACAGACTTACCTTATTTTATTTTGAATACAAAGTGTTCATTAAGTAGCATTTTTAGATGGCTGCGTGAGATTTTCACAACTTGTTAACAAGTCTATAGGAAGATGATTTGTGTTTTGCTGTGATTCTGCAGAGTGAAATCTTTATTAACATGATTAGTTTTCTACCTTTAAAAAATATTTCTAGAGATAAAATTGATTAAAGTTAACATAAAATTTATATAGTGAAGAGGAGCCATACTGAATATTGACTTTGTTAGGTGTAAGAAAGAGGATATACTTTCACTGAGAGTACCTGACTTTGCTAATCCATGATTTCTATTAAGAATACCAGGGAGTATATTTTGCAGGAAGCAATTTCATTATCTCTTGAAGTGCTAGGGTTCAGTATTTCAATACGCAAAATTCAATGATGCATTAATTTGATCCACCTCATTAGCATCCCAGCACATTTAGAGAAAAATGCCAGAATTGTTACAGTTGGTTCCAGTCATCAAAGTGATAGGCCCCAAGAGCTTTAACGCTATAATTAATGGATAATATATCATGTATAATATATATAATAAAATATATAGTAGATCATGTGTAACATATATAATGTATCGTATACCATTCCTCACAGATGAGAATTTCAATCTTTTGGTTACTAGTTCATGACAAAATGAATAATTGCCAGTTTTCAAATTCTGTAGTGTGGCTATTAAGGTAGAAAATTGTTACAGGTTACATAGACCCAGCATAGTATGTTCCTTCAAATTGAAATCTTGTTTGATTCGGAATACAACAATAAAGTTACAGAAAAGATTACTCTAATTAGAATCTTTGTTGCATCAGTCATGTTGAGGTTCTGACAGTGAAAGTAAACAGTAGATATTTTAAGTTTAGTAATAGAAATGTTAAACCTCCTTCTAGCTGTAATAGAACATGAGTATAATTGTTTAATAGCTAAGTAAAATCATTCTAAGTTATTTTTCTCACTAGGGGCACCATATGTCCTAGAGACACAGGCACTGAAATGTCTAATATGATTTCATAATGGTTAGTACTAGATTCAAAGAAGTAAAGATCAATTTTATTTCATGTAGAAAATGGGAATAGTACATGGAAAATTAAAAATTGCTTTAAGCAAGAAAATGCCAAACTCATAATTAGTAGTTGTTGTTCTTTTAGAATTATAATGATAATTTTTATAGGCATTGTTACTTTCCTGTTTTTAGTAAAATCAAATCAGAATTATCCAGAGATTTGATTTTTTCATAGTTGTAGAGTATTTGGTGACCTCATTAAAATATGTAGACTCTGCATATCCGAAAAGTAATATTATGTTTGTGTGAAAATAAAAAGGGAATATTGAGCATGTGAAGGGGCCATTGGGAATAAAATTTAGAGACTTGAAACTATATTATGAGGAACAAAACATAGTGTCAAGGAGTTGGACTCAAAGATCTTTATTGGTCCCTTCCAACTCGAGATCTTCTGTGATTCTATGATTCTGTAATGTAATATTTCTATAAAATCCATTTAAGATGTTTATATTTCAGTGTACTCATTTGTAAGAAAAGTTTTAACTAGACAGTGTTCTTGCATGTATAAGCTGGTGCCAGGCTTTATACATGTTGTGCTTCAGGTACACAAGAGATACCATCGCGGTTTTTCCGTGTCTGGGTTTGGGTTAGGGAATGTTGATTTTTGTCTCCATTTGACACCAGTAGATAGCTAAATTATATAAAGTTTGTTCAAACGGAGATTAAGTTAAGCTTTTTTATGTGTTAGGACCATCAGTGCTAGGAAGCATATAATAAAGTCTGCATGACACTTTTAAACAAGAGCTAGTTTGTCAGTAATTGCTGTCTATAGACCGAGTTCGACTCTTGTTCAGATTTTGTTGAACACAACTGTATGAATGTGCTTGGCAAGAACTGTATACTTTGCTGTTCTCTTTCAGTCTGTTCTGGTAATGGATGTGTATGATAGACTGTGTTTCCAGTTCACATATGAGTGTTTTTGTATTCCCTGTATATGTGCTTACTGTATGACGCCTAAGGATATCTTTTATGAGTCAGTAAGTGGGGACTACTGCCAAAAATCAATACATGAATCTATGACATAGAATTTACTAAGAAATTATCTCACCATGTTTTTTTCAAGGAGCTTGATCCACTCTAAAAAGTAGCTGAAATAGTGGGGGTGGGCAGAATCTAAAAGGAGGCCTTACCTGTTAGGAGAAAAGGACATTTGCTTGTAACAGTTGCTTCAGTGTCTCTGTCTGCTATTTGCATATTCATTTGCAGAAGTAAGACAACTGAGGTACACTTGACCTTTTCCTCCTAGTTTTCCTTGAGCTGTGGCAAGATGTATCCTATAATGTAAAATTGTGGCGCTCTCTGTTCTAGATACAGTAATCAAAATTGAAATCTTTTTTTGTGGTGTAATTTTACTGAAACTTCTTCTTCATGGCAATATGATTTTGAATATTGCCTCTCTTTGTACATTAATCATATATTATACGATACATTATATATGTTACACATGATCTACTATATATTTTATTATATATATTATACATGATATATTATCCATTAATTATAGCGTTAAAGCTCTTGGGGCCTATCACTTTGATGACTGGAACCAACTGTAACAATTCTGGCATTTTTCTCTAAATGTGCTGGGATGCTAATGAGGTGGATCAAATTAATGCATCATTGAATTTTGCGTATTGAAATACTGAACCCTAGCACTTCAAGAGATAATGAAATTGCTTCCTGCAAAATATACTCCCTGGTATTCTTAATAGAAATAAATAATTCTGTCTGTTCATCCTGTGGACATTTGTTAAACCTGGCAGAGTTTGGCTTCTGACTCATTTGAAGTCAGATTTTGCCAGCAAAGACAAAGAGGAGTGCAAGATTCAGCTATTACTTGCAAGATACAAAACTTCTCATCAGCTCGAGCTGAGGTACAGGTAGTAGTAGTTTTTTATATCTGATACATGCATGCATTTTTCGTATAATGATCTGTGCACATACAGATTAGGCAGGAGTACAGACCAAGCAGAAAATTCTTCTGAAAGGTATCCTGCTAAAGTCATTCCTTTCCAGAAAGACAGAAAAAAATAGACTACTATAATTTTTAATAGGATAACTACTGAGCACAATTGTGCTATAAACATTTAAAATAAAAAATAAAGAGGCTGCCAGCTGGGCCAGAGATTGGTGTTAAGGAGGCAGATAATTGTTACCTTTTATCTCAGGGTTAGGTACAAATATGTCTCCTAATTTCCTTCATCCTCTTTTATTCAGTGAACATCTTGCAAGGTAACTAATACAGCAAACTTCAGATTACAGTGAGTGCAATACCCTATATCTGTCATGAAAAAACATCAATGTACATAAATAAGGTTTCAGAATCAACTGCAAAGCGGGTAGCGTAACAAGTAATGTCACTGTCTCTGCTGAATTCCATCTTGTTTATTATGTAATGTATCTTGATAAGCATTTTTTAAAAGGTTCTTACTAAAGTTGTGGGGCTTCTAGGAAAGGTACCTCCTGCAGTGCCTTAGAAAAATTAGGAAAATTAGCAATTTAGGAATGGATTGTGTGTCGTTCCCTTTGTATTCAAAGTACTATGCTTAGTACTATGGCTATTAAAAATCAACATAGAGAATTTCAGGAAGATCATAACTCAAGCAAATTAAATAAGTTTTCAGCAGCACACTCGGAGCACCTACAGTCAATACCACTGGCTTAAAATCCATTCTCTTATTGTTTTCAACTTTAAATAATTTTAAAATTAAGAATAAGTTTTAGAATGAGAAAGCTGTTTGCATATTTCGTATACTTTGAAATGTCTTAGGTGTTTTGTAGAAACTGTTTTTAACTTGAACGCAGAGCAGACCTAGAAATAGTAGGTGAGAACTGAAGTGATTCAGTTGAACTGTAGTATCTGCTAATGGATGTGTGTGTGTGTATATATATGTGTGTGTATGTCTGCTATTCTATATAAGCTTGTATACGGGCAAGTTCTGTAAATCA